CGTAGGTCATCGCGCGGCGGTAGCGTGCGTGTCAGTGCACAATTAAGGTTTTTAGTCATGGTTAGTGTGTAGGATGCAGGTCATTGGGTCCTTAGGATGCAGGTCATCGATGCGCCCGAAAAGGGAAATTCTAAAACGGTTCCCCGCCCTCCGCTTCGGCTGGGGGTGGCAACCGGGGCGCGGCGGTAGCGTGCGTGTGAGTGCACAGTTAAGGTTTAGAATCATGGTTGGTGTGTAGGACGCAGATCGTTGAGTCCTTATAGGATGCAGGTCATCGCTGCGCCCGAAAAGGGAAATTGTAAAACGGTTCCCCGCCCTCCGCTTCGGCTGGGGGTGGCAACCGGGGCGCGGCGGTAGCGTGCGTGTGAGTGCACAGTTAAGGTTTAGAATCAGGGTTAGTGTGTAGAATGCAGGTCATTGAGTCCTTAGGATGCAGGTCATCGCTGCGCCTGAAAAGGGAAATTCTAAAACGGTTCCCCGCCCTCCGCTTCGGCTGGGGGTGGCAACCGGGGCGCGGCGGTAGCGTGCGTGTGAGTGCACAATTAAGGTTTAGCATCAGGGTTAGTGTGTAGGATGCAGGTCATTGAGTCCTTAGGATGCTGGTCATGGCTGCGCCCGGGGTGTGGCGGTAGCGTGCCTGTGAGTGCGCAATTAAGGTTTAGAATCAGAATGCAGGTCAGCGGCGGTAGCGTGCCTGTGAGTGCACAATTAAGGTTTAAAATCAGGGTTAGTGTGTAGAACGCAGGTCATTGAGTCAGGTCATCGCTGCGCCCGAAAAGGGATATTCTAAAACGGTTCCCCGCCCTCCGCTTCCGCTGAGTGCACAATTAAGGTTTAGAATCATGGTTAGTGTGTAGGACGCAGGTCATTGAGTCCTTAGGATGCAGGTCATTGCTGCGCCCGAAAAGGGAAATTCTAAAACGGTTCCCCGCCCTCCGCTTCGGCTGGGGGTGGCAACCGGGGCGCGGTGGTAGCGTGCGTGTGAGTGCACAATTAAGGTTTAGAATCAGGGTTAGTGTGTAGAATGCAGGTCATTGGGTCCTTAGGATGCAGGTCATCGATGCGCCCGAAAAGGGAAATTCTAAAACGGTTCCCCGCCCTCCGCTTCGGCTGGGGGTGGCAACCGGGGCGCGGCGGTAGCGTGCCTGTGAGTGCAAAATTAAGGTTTAGAAGCAGGGTTAGTGTGTGTAGGATGCAGGTCATTGAGTCCTTAGGATGCAGGTCATTGCTGCGCCCGAAAAGAGAAATTCTAAAACGGTTCCCTGCCCTCCGCTTCGGCTGGGGGCGGCAACCGGGGCGCGGCGGTAGCGTGCCTGTGAGTGCACAATTAAAGCTTAGAATCAGGGTTAGTGTGTAGTAGGATGCATGTCATTGAGTCCTTAGGATGCAGGTCATCGCTGCGCCCGAAAAGGGAAATTCTAAAACGGTTCCCCGTCCTCCACTTCGGCTGGGGGTGGCAACCGGGGCGCGGCGGGAGCGTGCGTGTGAGTGCACAATTAAGGTTTAGCATCAGGGTTAGTGTGTACAGCGGGGCATTTGAGTCGCATCGCTGTTGATCAGATATCTCCAACCACAGCGGGGAAGCAAACGCAGAGGGTCGCATCAGTTCCTTGTAAATCGCTGTAAATCGCTGGAAATCACTGCCGGACAGTGTTCTGCAAGGTGGCGTGTGTTTGATGTGACCATGATGTGACTCCGTCATATCTACTGGAGCGTCGTGAAATGCATGAGATGCGCCCTTCAGCCCAATATTGATGTGACTAAGATGGCCCGCTGTAGGACGCAGGTCATTGAGTCTCTAGGATGCAGGTCAGCGCTGCGCCCGAAAAGGGAAATTCTAAAACGGTTCCCCGCCCTTCGCTTCGGCTCGGGGTGGCAACCGGGGCGCGGCAGTCGCATGCATGTGCGTGCAGGTAAAGCTTTTTTAATGAGGGTTACTGTTTCGGAGGCCGGCCATCGAGTTTAGGCTCAAGTCACCATGATGTAGTAGTATTCCAGCACATCTACTCCTGCAACGCTGCGCCTGAAAAACAAACAATCTGAGACTGTTTTCGCCCTTCGCTTCGGCTGGGGGTAGCAGCTGGGCACGGCCGAAAAGTGCGCGCGAATGCACGGCTAAGGCTTAAAATAAACTTAGGGTCATCGAGTCCGATTATTCAATGCGTGTGACGGAAAGGCTAGACTTTGGGGATGAGGGTTTCGAGTGGCAGATGCAGGCTGTGGAGTCTCAGATTGTGGGATGTTACTAAAGATGTAGCTGCTTAATCATGAACTAAACTTTGCTTCACAATCACAAGCCCCAGCTTCTAAATAGACCCTATTTTGCTCAGCCACCCCCCCCCCCTCCCCCCCTCCCCCCCCCCCTCCCCCCCTCCCCCCCTCCCCCCCCCCCCCTGCCCTCCCCTTCTCCCTCCCCCCTCCTCCCCCCTCCACCACCAGTTTTAAAAATCGAAACTTTCGTACGAAACTTTCGTACGAAACTTTCGTACGAAACTTTCGTACGAAACTTTCGTACGAAACTTTCGTACGAAACGTTTCGTTCGAAACGTTATTGGGACCCAAACCCTATACAATTTCTATAAACCCTAAACCCTAAACCCTAAACCCTAAACCCTAAACCCTAAACCCTAAACCCTAAATCCTAAACCCTAAACCCTAAACCCTAAACCCTAAACCCGACCCTAAACCCTAAACCCCAAACCCTAAACCCTAAACTTCTAAACCCTAAACCCTAAGGGGGAGCATCCCGAGGCTCATCGCTCTCGAGCTCCTCCAGCTTCACCGTAAGGGCGACTGGAAGTGGCAGCGGCTCCGGCGGCACCCACACCCTTAGGGTTTAGGGTTTAGGGTTTAGGGTGTTGGGTTTAAGAGAATCAAACCCTAACCCCCAAAACCCGAACCCCGCACCCCAAACCCTAAACCCCAAACCCCAAACCCGAAACCCCACACCCTAAACCTGTACTTTCCCTCATTGGGTTTAAGAGGACCACGTTCAAGAGTATTGCCATCCTAGGTTCAAGTCTCCAGCCTCCGGCCCTTGTTCCCGGTTACCCTAAACCCCAAGAAACCTAAACCCTAAACCCAC